CCCCCCCATCCCCACTTCTACCTCAGTAAGTACTCAGGTTAGCTGGAAGTATTTCTTTCTACTTCTTGTTTGTTTAGCATAAAGTTACATTTATTTGTCAAATCTATAAATCTATATGATTTCATCAATCTCATGTATATTTTCTTTTTCATCTAGATAGAAGTTTACTTTCAAATAATCCAGAAAAGGAAGAACAAGCAGATCCGAGATGTGTAGCTCTGTGGCTGCTAAGCTGTGGTTTTTGACAGATCGACGAATCAGAGAAGATTATCCACAGAAAGAGATCTTACGAGCTCTGAAGGCCAAATGTTGTGAGGAGGAGCTGGACTTTAGGGCTGTGGTGATGGATGAGGTGGTGCTTACAATTGAGCAAGGCAATCTGGGTAAGACTATACAAGTGCTATTTCAGATTCTACTTAGAATGTGGTGAGTTTAAATGTCTAGAGGTGGTAGGTACCATCACTCACAGGAAGTCTGTGTACAGAGACATAGGACACTAGTATTTCCTAAACTGTGATGTATGAAAGAGTAGAAAGGAAATGTTAAAATGTTAAAAAAAACTATCCAGGCATGCTGGCATACACCTTTAATTCCTGTCTCTGTGTTGACAAGGCTGGTATTAGATCCATGCCTGTCTCTGTCTCCTGAGTGTTGAGATACCCTCTCTTAAAAAACAAACAAACAGGGCCAGGCGTTGGTGGTGGTGCACTCCTTTAGTCCCAGCACTTGGGAGGCAGAGACAGGCGGATCCCTGTGAGTTCAAGGCCAGACTAGTCTACCTAGAAAGTTCCAGGACAGGCAAACAAACAAACAAATATTTTTTTGCTTATCTACAAAATTTAAATCCATTTTCTTAAAAGTACTTGTAAAGAAATTTGTAATTAACTAATGTAAGTTCTGTTGATTAATTAGTTTCCATGTCATTTTCATCTTCACTTTCTTTTAGATATATCTGCAGCATTAATTGAAATAACTTATTTTGAAAAAGCCAGTAGTGTGCATGCTTTTAATTTCAGCACTTTGGAGGCAGAGGTAGGTGGAGCTCTGAGTTCAAGGCCAACCTGGTCTACAAAGAGAATGCCAGGACAGTCAGAGCTGTTACACAGAGAAACTCTGCTCAAAAAACAAAACAAAACAAACAAAGGATTTGACTCAGCTGGTGATACATGTATTTCTAATGTTTCACATGTGTTCAGAAAATAATCTGGGCATGGTGGTTCGTTGGAGGTGAGGCCAGTGTTCAAGGCCAGTATGAGATACAGAGTGAGGAAGAACCTTCGATTTCCAGGACAGGCCCCAAAGCTACATAGAAAACTCTGTCTCCAAAAACAATATATATATATATATATATATACATATATATATATAAAATTTGGTAAGGAAAAATGGGAGGTAGACTTGGGCATCACTCTGGTTAGTGTTCTCAACTTCACAGGAACTAGAATTTCCCAGGAGATGTGATTCTTGAGCGGCATCTTCTTAACTAGGTTAGTTCATCTGGTAAAACCCACATTAACTGTGGGCAGGGCCATTTCTTGGACAGGGATCCCTCCTTCATGATCCTCTTGTGGATCCAGAGAGCTTGTCTTTTTTTCTTTAAATGTATGAGAGCTCTGTCTTCATGCCAGTATGCATGCAAGAAAAGAGCATCAAATCCCTTAATAGATGGTTGTGAGCCACCATGTGGATACTAGGAATTGAACTCAGTTGGTAAGGTCCTTTGGAAGAGCATCCAGTGCTGTTAACCATTGAGCCAACTCTCCAGCCCCCATTTTTAGTCTTATATATTTTTTATATTTTTAGGTTTTCTTATTTTGTGTGCATGGGTGTTTTGTCTGCATGTATGTGTGTGTACCACATGCATGCCTGATGCCTTGTGGAGGTCAGAGGAGGTCATTGGATCCCATGTTGATGCTGGAAATTGAACCTTGGTCCTCTATAAGAACAACAAGTACTCTTCACGACTGAGCCAGTTCTTTAGCCTTGTCTACTACTCCTCTTTTAGGGAGGTGATGAAACAGCTTTCACAGAGCTCTCCTTTTTATTAAAAATAATGTTTTTCAAGATTTTCCTTTGGAACATTTTCCTCAGAATATTTCTAATTACAAAGCAACAAAACAAAAAACTATACTGTTACACTAAAGTGGAGTTGGTTGGTCCAACTTGCCTGGGGTTTCTGTCCTTGGGATGCCAGTTTTATATTTTCCTTGCTTATCTCTTAGTTTTACTGGCTGTGGTTTTGACTTCAGGCTCCCTGATTCATCTGAAAGCCACCCCTTTTGATAGCAAGATCCTTGTTTTCAAAATTGACATACAGGGGTCAAACTCTTGTGTCAGTTGACCTTTTGGTAGAAAGGAGAATGAAAACAACCTTCATTAAACCAGTGGTAGATTTCCATTCTGCGTGCTTATAATGTGGAGTGTTGTAGACCAGGCTGACAGCGTAGGTGTAATGATTTCACTAGACCCAAGATAAATGATAAATGGGTGTTTCTTGGGGAAAACATACACAGATAATAATAAAGAGCGGCCGAAGTGTTTCTCTGCCCTTCCGATTGGATCCACAACCCAAGAGAAAGAGACTGAGAACAGAGACCATGCTTCACTCTTTCCTCTTTCTGCTTCAGTCTGTACCTGAAGCCACGCCTAAAGGGATGTGGCCACTAACACAAATGCATTGGCAAGGCTAGATGCGGTTACACCAGGCTGCTCTCAAACATCTGACACCCTTTCTCCACCCTCAGTGTTGAGATTAGTAGTAGCATGGGGTACCACATGTGGTCCGACTAGATGTAATTTATATGGTATTAATATTTCTGTTTTTTTTATGAGCTTTCTGCTCTGAAATGGCACTTGCCATAATTATTGTTAAAAATACTTCTGTTTATTTTTCAGCCAGGTCAGGAGACAGCTTCTAGCACAAAACTTGAGGAGATGACTTTTAAAAAAGATTTTATTTATTTATTATGTATTCTACATTCTGCTTCCATGTATATCTGCACACCAGAAGAGGGCACCAGGTCTCATAACAGATGGTTGTGAGCCACCATGTGGGTGCTGGGGATTGAACTCAGGACCTGTGGAAGAGCAGTCAGTGCTCTTAACCTCTGAGCCATCAATCTAGCCCTGGAAAAATCTCTTTTTTAAAAAAAGAAAATCTTTTCTTTTTTGGGTGTTTGCCATGATTATCAAGTTCTGAGATTGATTTCTCTGCTAAACTTCTGTAGTGAAGTTTGTTCCAAAGGCCTTTTTTATTAGTGTTTTCTGTGTGTGCCACTTCTTGTTTCTTTCTGCTCCTGCATGCTCTCTCCTTTTTCCATAGAAAGTCTTATACTATCATAGTTATTTCACTCTAGCCTAGGCAGACTTGGAACTCTTATGTAGCTCAGATTGGCCTAAAAGTTGTGGTGATTCTCCTGTGTGTTGGGGTCACAGGTGTGAGCCACTGTGCCCAGCTTCTTAGTGTTTTAAAATCTGACAGTCTGTGGTACCTGACTCTTGTTTGCTTTCTTCAAACTAGTTTTTACCCTTCTATTTGTGTACAAAAATACTGCTCCTCAACTTAAGTGAGAGTTGGGCTTATTTTTATCCTGCTGTTGACTCCAGCATGGGAGGCAAGTCAAGGCAAGAACTTCAAATTGCTAATCATATCTGGTCATGGTTAGAGTAGAATCCATGGATGTTCAGTTGTTTGCTTTTGCTCAGCTTTATTTTGATGCTCAGGAATTCTGCCTAGGGAATGGTGCTGCCCTTAGTGAGCTAGGTCTTTCTTCCCTCACTGGTCAAGATAAGTTAAGACAGTTCCTTCTCCACAGACATACCCACAGACAGTCCTTTATTGAGACAGTCTCACCAGGTGATTCTAGGTTATTAGTATTTGTCATCTCATTCTTTTGTGGTGAGTCCTCTAAGCCCCTTTCATGCAAGGGAGCAGTAGAAAAAAAAAAGTGGAGGTGTGGGTTGTAAGCATACAGTGTTCAGTGTGAGCACCTGAATGAACTCATTAGTTTAGAAAATGTTATTTTGTGTTCTTACTTTGTTGCTATCAGTCATAATTTTATATTTATACTAATACAAATCACAGTTGAGGCACATGATCTGTTCTTGTTTTTGCTTGTGATTTCTGGATCTAACTTTCCTCCACAGTATCTTTTCTTTAAACACAGAAATACCATTCAAGGCTTTTACCCTAACCTTGTTGGTGCCATTCACTGGCCTATATCAGAATATGCTACCGGAACTAAACGAATACTATAAAATGGAACATATAGCATATTTTTTCCCATGGGAATGAACTCTTCAGAGAAAAAAAAAAACACATTTATACTGAGAATTTGGGGAAGAATTGTAGCATGTAGTAGTTACTTAATATTTATAGAATGAAAAATTGTTCAGAAAAGTATTAATCATAACATATCTTAAATTCAACCATTGAAAAAAGCACTGAGAATAAAATCTCTAGTGTAATTTTAAGTGGTAGGAGACATTTATGTTAAACAACTTGAAAAAATCTGATTTTTCAAAAAAAAAAGTATACTTAGATCATCATGGAGAAAAGTAACAGTATTGTGGAAGGTAAAATGTATCCTGACATTTTATATCTGAGTGTTTTAAGCAACATGTGCTATTTTAAAATCAAAGATTTTAAGGAGTAATTCATTTAAAAACCTTTTTCCTTTTTCATGTATTACTTATTGCCTTCCTAAATTCAATTCGAAAATTCATAAAAGCAGATGAACTCATTTTAAAAACTCAAACAGAACAGAGTAGAAAGTGCGTGGGGCATTGGTGGTGCATGCCTTTAATCCCAGCACTTGGGAGGCAGAGGCAGGCGGGTCTCTGTGAGTTGGAGGTCAACCTGGTCTCCAGAGCAAGTGCCAGGATAGGCTCCAAAGCTACACAGAGAAACCCTGTCTCTTAAAAACAAAAACAAAACAAACAAAAAGTAAAAGAGGCTGTGTGGTGGTGGCGCATGCCTTTACTCCCACCACTTGGGAGGCAGCCTGGTCTACAGAGTGAGTTCCAGGACAGGTTCTGGAAGAAAAAGAAAAAGGAAAGAAAAGAAAATTGCAGAGTGCAGTGTTGAAATTCCCTACTCTACCTTATTCCTACTTTGTCACCCAGTCACCATTGGAAGACATCCCAGTCATTTATTCTTCCAGAAATTCTGTATTTATATATAAAAATACATAAAAAATACATTTACTCTCAAATTTCCCCATAACAGTTCATTATATATTTGTACTTTATTTCTGAATGTAAATATATTTATTATGCCATCTTTTTTAATGGTAGTATATAAATAGCATGTATATACTTTAGTAAGTCAGTTTAGAATTTTCTCTTTTCTTAGGGAATGTCTGTATTCCAATCCAGGATTAACAACACCAGTGCATTTGATTTTGAGATATAAGGCTTGGTATTTTATTTTTATGTATTTATTTTGGTTTTCCGGACAAGGTTTCTATGTGTCACCTGGCTGTGCTTGAATTTACTCAGTAGACCAGGCTGGCCTCAAACTCAGACTGGCCTCTGTCTTCCATGTATTAGGACTAAATACTTTTGGTATTTTATTGTTCCTTTATATTATTATATATATATAATATATAATTATTATGTATAATTATATAATATATATATTACTATTATATATATAATATTATATTATTATTACTACTTTTCATTTAAGTTTTACATTTACTATTATAATTACATTTTACATGTACTGTTTAAATTTGAGATTAAAATATAATTGCATCATTTCTTCTCTTTCCTCCCTCCAAACTCTCATATCTTTCCTTGATCTTTCAAATTTGTGTCCTTTTTTTCATTAATTATTTGTGTGTGTGTGTGCATACATACATACATATTCCTAAATACATAAAACACACTTGATCAGTCTATAGAATGTAACTTGTATTTTTTTGTTGTTTTGTTTTGCTTTGTTTGTTTTTGGTTGAGGTTTTTTTTTTTTTTTTTTTTTTTTTTTTTTTTTTTTTTTTTTTTTTCTCTCTCTCGAGACAGGGTTCTCTGTGGCTTTGGAAGCTGTCCTGGAACTAGCTCTTCTAGACTCACTTTATTGAACCCTTACCCCAACCTCCACTGTGGCAATGGCCCCTTTTTCCTTTCCTGATCTCTGTAGGTACTCTAGGATATATAGTCACATTTGGATTTGGAGCTAGAAGCCTCAGATAAAAGAGAAGATACATTGTTTTCTCAATATGGTCTTTTCTAGTTTCATCTCTTTTCCCACAAAGTTCATGGTTTCATTTCGTTTTTCACAGCAGAACATCATTCCACAGTGTATTTGTACCACATTTTCATTATCTGTTCAGATTATTTCCATTTTCTAACTATTGTGACTAGAGCAGCAGGGAACATGGCTGAACAGGCATCAGTGGAGTGGGTCATATGGTATGATTTTTTGCTTTTTTGAGAATTCAAAATGCTTCTCCAGCAATTGTTGACCACTGCTGTTTTGTTGATATTTGCCATTTTGACTTTATTTAGTCAGAAAAAAAATAATCTCAAAGTGTTTTGGTTTACATTTCCCTAATTGGTAGGGACAATGAACATCTTTGTTGTTGTTCTGTGATTCTGTATGAGTCTTAGGATAGGTTTTTCTAGTTTTGTGAAGAATGAGATGGGGATTTTGGTTGGGATTACATTTATCTATTATTATTATTTTTTAATTATAAGAACTTATATAAAAAACTTAGAAAAACCAGGATCTCACTCTAGTCCTGGCCTTGAACATTCTCCTGCCTCAGACTCATGAGTGATTTCAAGATTGAGCTGCCATGTCTTTTTTATTGCATACTCCTTTCAATGATTTTAGCTTCATTCTTATGTTTTTCAGGTCTACGGATCAATGGAGAGCTTATTTCTGCCTACCCACAGGTTGTGGTAGTGAGAGTTCCAACCCCATGGGTGCAGAGTGACAGTGACATCACTGTTTTGCGCCACCTAGAGAAGATGGGGTGCCGATTGATGAACCGACCTCAAGCTATCCTGAATTGTGTTAATAAATTCTGGACATTTCAAGAGTTAGCTGGCCATGGTGTACCTCTGCCAGATACTTTTTCTTATGGTGAGATCATAAATGAGAATATATAATTTGGGGGGCTAGAGAGATGGTTCAGCAGGTAAGAGTACTTGCTTCACGAATATAAGAGCTTGAGTTCAGACCTGCACTCATGTAAAAGATGGGTATGGCCACATGTCCTATAACCACAGTGGACGGTGGACAGGAAGACCACTGGGTGTTGCTGGTTGTCGGTTCCACTTTCAGTGAGCGACTTTGTGTCAGGGAATAAGGCACTTTTTAGTGATAGAGCAAGACACCCAGCATCCTTCTTATGTACATATACACTAATGCATGCATCACAGACAGACAGACAGACATAGTGTTTGGTACTCCATATTTAACTGATAGAATACCTGATGGATGCCAAGTACAACATTTAAACAAGTATGCCTCTGTTCCAATAAAACTTCATTGTAAAATCAAACAGTAGGCCAGAATTTAGCCCACAGGCCTTGGGTTTGAGGTAAAAGACAGCTGTTTGGTATTTCTATTTAATGTCTTGTCTTTGTTACCATTTTTTTTTTAGTTTATTTTTATGTGCATTGGTGTTTTGCCTGCATGAATGTCTCTATGAAGACTCCAGGTCCTCTAGAACTGGAATTATAGACAGTTGTCAGCTCACATGTGGATGATGGGAATTGAACCCAGGTCCTCTGGAAGAGCAACCAGTGCTCTTAACCTCTGAACCATCTCTCCAGTCCCTTTGTTACTATTTTCATAAGTTAATATTTTCATACTTCTTAGGAAAATGACCTCATTAAAGAAGATGGGCAGTATGCTTTAAAGTAGCACTTAACTGTTCTCTGACAAAGGATCATTTTAAGTCTGTCAATGTGCATCAATACTAAAGTGAAATATAATAATTTATAGAGCCATAACAAACTTGAAACAATGTCTAATCCTTTTGGACTTAATCACCTGCCAATAGCAAATGTGTCACAAGAGGCACATTTTGAGTAACACTGCTATAAATATTACCATGTTAATTTCTTGCCCTTCAAGTTGGAAAAGAGTTGTATGCTTTATTTTTTTGTTAATTTTGTTTGTTCAAGGCTGTTGGCCTTGAACTTGCTGTGCAGACCAGGCTTTCCTCAAATCCTCCAGCCTCTGCTTCTCAGGTGCTAGAATTACAGGATTGTGCCACCACACCCAACTTTCTAGAGAAGTATAGTTTTTTACAAAGGCATTTTTTTTCAGATAATATTAAGTAGAATGCTTAGAAATTTAATGAGGTTTTAAAATGAACTCCTTGTCTTACTATAAAGAACAGAACCCCATATGCATATGTTGATATAATTATTGCTTTTAGGGGTTTTTTTTGGATTTTTGTTTTTGAGACAGGGTTTCTCTGTGGCTTTGGAGGAACTATCTCTTGAAGACCAGACTGGCTTCGAACTCACAGAGATCCTCCTCCCTCTGCCTCCAGAGTGCTGTGCCACCATTGCCTGGCTGCTTTTAGTATTTACACAGGCAAAATAAATCACTTAAAGGCTGATTTCCCAATGCTCTTGGGAAGGAGAAAAGGACTCACTAGCCTGTGAATTATACCTTTAATGGTGAGGGATTAAAATTTTTAAGGGAATAATCTTAATTTCTGTAAATTGAATTGTTCATATTGTGCTTATGTTTCCAAGTCTTTTTCTGGCTTAATTCCTATTATTGTCATACTTACTCTTTTTATAATTGCAGACCATTTTTTTCCATCATCTTGCTGCTGTCATTTTTTTCTTGATCAGTGAAGACAGTAAGAAGCAAGATTAGCCAGGCAGTGGTAACACACACCTTTAATCCCAGCATTTGGGAGTCAGAGGCAGGCAGATCTCTCTGAGTTCAAGAACAGCTTGGTCTACATAGCAAGTTCAGGACAGGCAGAGCAATACAGAGAAACCCAGTCTCTAATAACCAACAAAACAAAACAAAGAATAAATCATGCTGGACCTAGTGGGACAAGCCAGTAATCCAGCTACACAGAAGGTGGGGGCAGGGGAATCACATGTTGAAGCATAGCTTGACTACAGAGTGAGTTCAAAGCTCACTTTGGCAACTTAGTGAAACTTTTGTTCAGAGTAAAAAATAAAAAGAGGGCTGGTAATCTTTGCTTGCTTAGCATATATGAAACTATGGGTTAAATTCCCAGTGTTACAGAGGCACTGACACTAAAACAGGTATGTTCATGGAGTAGAGGACTCATTTAGCTACAGCTATCGGATTCTCAACAGAAAGAACTGAGCCACTTCTTTGGCACAAAAAGGTGTTGTTTTCAGTGGATTGCCAGTTACATTTAATTTCTTCAAGACAAACAGACATTCCCATTCCTCTTATTTCCATCTCCCTTGTCCTGTGCTTACAATGGGTCCCAGCATACTTTTGCCATTAGTCTAAAATTTATTTTTTCCTCAAACCAGGTGGCCATGAAAACTTTGCTAAAATGATTGATGAAGCAGAAGTTTTGGAGTTCCCAATGGTAGTGAAGAATACACGGGGTCATAGAGGTACGTAAGATTTGTGGATATGGTACATAGCTTTGAAATTGCTTTTGCAAATTAACAATTGAATAGCAACCAACAAGTGTTTGAGACCACAAACTTGTAGAAGATTTTTACAAGTTCACCTTGGTGAGATGGTGTTTTCTGTTGAGAGGTTATAGTAGAGATTTAACATGCATGACTAATTCTCAAGTTTAGTGTTTCACTTCAGGAATACATAGTCCCTTACCACCACCACCACCTGGCAAACAATACGTCTTTCTTTACTCATCCTTTTGAGAATGTTATTTTGCTGGGTCTCTGTCTAGTTGTCTTTTTCCAGTATTTATCAGTATATACAATACTCTTTTTTTTTTAAATATACAATACTCTTAATTCTCTTTGAAGAACATAGTTTTCAGAAACTTGTACTGTGATAAGAGATTGCCATAGTAGGTTGGCTAAACTAAGGATTGTTATAAGATGTCTATGCCAAAAGTGTTAGCTGTGGACCATTTTATATATATCCTACTTTGCCTTTCCACTGACCCCAGTTGTTGGTCATTGGTTCCATACACAGAACTCTTTAAATATCCATTGCTGTTGTAGTGTTTGTAGTACCTTTCTACTTTTGGTGTTTTCTAAAACTAGAGAAGCAGGCTCTTTCTAGCCAGAATACTTCCTAGCCATTGGATTTGCAGCCACTCCTGAGCCAGTCTGATTCCTGTTGCTGTACTAGGCCCTTCTAAAGAATTTTTAGCAGAGAATGTAATAATCCAAGGATAAGCCATATGTAGTACTTTGGGACATATGGATCTAAATTCATCTAGAGCCATTGACTTTGTTGTTTATTTGACTTCTCTAATATGATAGTTAAGGATCCGGGGTCTCCTATAGTGAATGCTCACTAAACAAACAAGCTGCATAACCTCCTGTGACTTAGTGTTAGAAGGCAACAAAAAGGAGCATAGAATCAGTCCCCCAGAGAAGAATTTACAGCATATGTTAAAAGGAGGTACCTCTGGGACTGGAGGAGAGATGACTCAGCAGTAAAGAGCACTTGCTGCTCTTCCAAAGGATCTGGGTTCAATTCCCTGCACCTACATGGCAGCTTACAACTGTGGCTCCAGTTCTAGGAAATGTGACACTTTCATACCAGTGACTTGTTAAATACAAATAAATTATTTTAAAAAAAAGACATACCTCCATTAGGATAAAAATAGAGCAAGGAGACAGATTGGAGAATTCAGAAACAAATTTAAGTATGATATCACTACGTTACTGTGTTGTAATAGTAGAATGTTAACATGTAATAATTTATGTCTATTTTAACTCAGAGGAAAGGGGTTTGCTAAGAATGAGGTTAACAATGGCTAACCCTTGGAGAAATATAATGTAGGTCCTCTTCCTCATAAACCCAAATCGAATAGTTAGCCATAAGAGATGCCTCAGAGGTTAAGAGCACTGACTACTCCTCCAGAGGTCCTGAGTTCAGTTCCCAACAACCACATGGTGGCTCACAACCATCCGTTATGACATCTGGTGCCCTCTTCTGGTGTGCAGATATTCATGGAAGAAGAATGTTGTATACATAAATAAATAAATAAATAAATAAATAAATAAATAAATAAATAATTTGTTTGAGCCGGGCATTGATGGCGCATGCCTTTAATCCCAGTACTCGGGAGGCAGAGGCAGGTGGATCTCTGTGAGTTCCAGCCTGGTCTACAGAGTGAGTGCCAGGATAGGCACCAAAGCTACAGAGAGAAATCCTGTCTCAAAAAACAAAAAAAGAATTTGTTTGGGGAAATAATAGGTGATTATTAACTTTAACCCCATATGGTTTTCGTATTATCTTACTAATCATAACTAAGTCACTTTAATCAACAGTTATAATGAAGAGTACTCTAAAAATACACAAGTATAATTGGTTCTGAAAGAGTATATTGGGATCTAAGAATGTATATCACTATCTACAGTTTCATGACTTGCATGCATTGTATATTTTTCTTTTTAAATTCTAGGCAAAGCTGTTTTTTTGGCACGAGATAAACACCATTTAGCTGATCTAAGCCATCTTATCCGGCATGAAGCTCCGTATCTGTTCCAGAAATACATTAAAGAGTCTCATGGAAGGGACGTGCGAGTCATTGTGGTGGGAGGAAGAGTCGTCGGCACCATGTTACGTTGTTCAACAGATGGGAGAATGCAAAGCAACTGTTCACTAGGTAAGGACAACGCAGCATCCTTCTGTTGGGGTATAAAGTGAGTGTGCTTTCCACATGGAAATTGTACTCCTACCAACCAGCATTCTTAGTTTTCTCCTTCTTGAATCAGATTGCACTGATGATGAATTTTTTTTGTGATAATTTTTCATTTCTGTTTAAGCTTTTCAGGCTTGTGTATATTTTATGTTTAGCATATTACTCAGACACAGCCACTTTTGCTCTCCTTTCCTGTCTCTTCCATTGGTCCCCTTGTCGCCTTAGGACCTCTGCAGGAGCAGCAAGTGCTTTTAACTGCTGAGCCATCAAAGTGGGCCTCTCCACATCACCCAGTGCTAGGACTAAAGGCCTGTGGTTGATTCCACACACAGCTACCATTCCCGCTGTTAACTTGGATTTTAGGACGCTGTCTACAAGTTCTAGAAATTTTCTCTCTTTTGTTATACAGTGTTTTGTTTTTTGTTTGTTTGTTTGATTTGGTTTTTCCAGGCAGGGATTTTCTGTGTAGCCCTGTAACTCTCTCTGTAGACAAAGCTGGCCTTAACTCACATTCATTTGCCTTTGCCTCCCAAGTGCTGGGATTAAATGTGTGCACCACCACCACCTGGCTATGTATACGTTTTGTCTGTGCACCATGTGCCCACAAACAAAAGAGCATTGGATCTCCTGGAAATGCAGGTACAGTTGTGAGCTACCAAGTGGGTGCTGGGAATTGAATCCAGATTTTCTGTAAGAGCAATTAGTGCTCCCAACTGCTGAGTCATTTCTCCAGTGCTCCCTCCCCATTTCTCTCTTTAATATCCCCTCTCCATCTATTTATTTCCTTCTGGAAGATTTATTTTCTGATTCAATTCTCAGATTTCCTACTTTGTTTTATGATTTCATTTTAAGTTTTTTGTCTGTGCTTTAAAAATTTTCCTTATATTTGATTAGATCTGCCTGCCTCTGCCTCCCGAGTGCTGGTGAGCCACCACCACCCGGCTCTAGAACATTCTTTCTTGTATTAGGTATTTATCTTGTCATACTTGGGCTTATTCAAATTTGTTGGTTTTGGAGCTTTTCAAATTGCTTTAGTCCTCCAGGTACAGGGAACCATTCTGGTTCCTGGGCTCTTCTTATCTTTTCAACTTCTGGGTAATAATGAGGACTTAGCTTCATTGTCTGTCTGCTTTGGCCATTATGTATGGCATTCCTGTGCCCAAGTATTGTCAGGGTTCTGTGCTCTCTAGTCTTCTTGAAGCTAGTCTCCAAGTGAGGTGCTATTATGTTTCCTTACTCTCACTCTATACTAGCAAAGCCAAAGCCTTACCCTATATATTTGGGTAGTGATGTAAAAACTCAGAAGCCTTTTTTCTTAGGAATAGAATCCATAGAGAAATAGTGCCATATTTGGATTGCCATATTCCCAATATGTGCACCATCCTGTCTTTGTTCCTGTTGTTTGGCTAGATTAAGTTAATTATTTTTGAAACAGAGTCTCATATGTAGCCTTGGCTATCGTGGAACTTGCTTTGTAATCCAGGCTGCCTCAAACTCACTTTCTCCACTTGTTGTATATAAAATCAGCTGGTGGACTGGAGAGATGGCTCAGTGGTTAAGAACATTGGTTGCTCTTCCAGAGGACCTGGGTTCATTTCCCAGCACCCACATGGTGGCTCCAAACTGCCTGTAACTCCAGTTTCAGGGAATCCAACACCTTCACAGAGACATACATGGAGGCAAAACACAAATTCGCATGAAATAAAAATGTTATTTTTAAAAAATCAGATGGTCTAATTATATTTATATAAATATTTTTAACACAATCTTCCATATTTGCAGATTCAAATGATTCAGTTGAAGACTTAAAATACAAAACCAAAATGAAACAACCAAACAGTCCAGAGTTGGTGACTAGATCTCAGTGTGTGTATGTTGCTTCCTAAAGGTTCCTGAAAGCAGAACTTTGCAGAGGCCAAACACTGTGCTAAATTGGTAGGAATCAACCAATAGTCAGTCCTCCACTTCAGTCTCCTGGGACCCTCATCCTCTTCCTGGCACAATTTAGAGTGTTATTTGAGTTGAGTTTGGACTGGGATGTTGAGCCTACAATGGTTGCCATCTGTATTGAACATATGTTATTGTTCTAAGCAATAACATTTTACAGCTTTTGGGTGTTTCCATTGTATCAGGTATTGTACTATAGAGCTGATTAAAAATATGCAGCAGGTTGTAGGCACTACAAACTCTGTCAAGGGCTTGTGACCATTTGTAGATTTTAGTGTCTGTGGTGGGGATGGGAGGTTCTGGGAACCCATGTGATGCCAAGGGACACTGTTTGGTCCATTTTGTCATAGGCAGGATAGACCTTAAGGAGAGTTTAATGTCTAAGACTTTCTCTTGGAAGTTCTGTCTCACTTTACTTTCATCTATGCTCTGGCAGATTTAGTAGTAGGTGCCTGTATGTAGTGCCAGCACTCAGGAGGCTGAGGCAAAAGATCATGAGTGTGAGGAAGTCTGGACTAAAAATTATGATTTAGTCTTAATAGGACAAAACAAAAACCAGTTTTACACTAATAGCATTGTTTCATTGTTTCATTACCCACTAAGAAGAGGGCTGATTAACTCTACTACAAAAGTTGGTAACTCTACCTCTTCTTTTGTTTGCCAGGTGGTGTGGGGATGATGTGCTCACTGAGTGAACAAGGGAAGCAGCTAGCGATCCAGGTGTCTAATATCCTGGGGATGGATGTCTGTGGCATTGACCTGTTGATGAAAGACGACGGCTCCTTCTGTGTCTGCGAGGCCAATGCAAATGTAGGTTTCATCGCCTTTGATAAGGCTTGTAATCTAGATGTAGCTGGTATCATAGCAGACTATGCTGCCTCCCTTCTGCCGGCTGGCCGGCTCACCCGGCGCATGTCCCTGCTCTCTGTGGTGTCCACGGCCAGTGAGACTAGTGAGCCGGAGCTCGGTCCCCCTGCCAGCACTGCTGTCGACAACATGAGCGCAAGTTCCAGCTCTGTCGATAGCGACCCTGAAAGCACCACCGAGCGAGAGCTGCTCACCAAGCTCCCAGGGGGGCTGTTCAACATGAACCAGCTGCTAGCCAATGAAATCAAACTCCTGGTGGAGTGAGTCCACCGGTAAATAATTAACCAACAAAACCCCTGTAAAACTGTCTCCCCTCACCCCATCCCCGATCCTCTTTAACCAACTTGCAATGCTGTTCATGGAGAATGCTCAGGAGGTTGAGAGAAAAGTATAGTAAGATTGGTTAGAAGGGAAAATAGATGAGACCTCTGATAGTAATACTCACCTGACTCATTTACAGATTTCAGAGAGGCAGAATAGGTGATATGCAGAGAAATGGCAGGCTCTCTTGCTAACCTTTTCAGTTACTAAAACCCTACTCTTAGGCCATGAGGAACATGAAAGTTTCTTTTTCCATGGTCTCTAGCTTTTGTTTTTATGTAGAATGGTTTTGATTCAAGTACTTGGTAGCATGACTTCATGAAGGTTCAAGAGGAAACATCTGCTTAAAATACAGAAATGTTTTAATAACAATCTGAAAATTCTTCTGCCGTTTCTCTCACCTAGCATTTAAATGCACATAGTTGTTTATGAACTCTTAAGGGGCTGTGACCGGGATTTCTTATCTTCATGTTTGTCCTTGTTTTTTCTCCCTTAATTTGGGTGGGAGGGTAATGTGACTATAATCCAATAAAGATTTTTAATAACAAAATTGGCATGTTTGCATGATGAAAGGGAAATGAACAGTATTGCAATGTCTGGTATACAAAGTAACATTTACTCAATGTAGATAAAAATTACACTAGTTAAAGTTTGTGCATTGACTTGTATTTGTTAGTGTTTTAGTCTTTTTTGAAATATATATGCTGTTAATGTTGCATTTTTAATACATGCTGGTAACACCCTTGCTCTATGACTTCATTTTTAACAATGGCCAAAGTGAACACAATGCTATTTTTTTTTTGGTTAACAAGACACTGACTCAACATACACATTTAAAAGTCTCCGTGCCCACCTTTTCTCTTGATAAGTACAGGGACATCATTTTGGGGAGTCAAGTAAAAGTCATAAAGCTGAGATGATTTCTTAATGCTATTTTTTTGTATTTGCATTTTTCACGTTTTAGAGGGGTTGCATGCAAATGTGTTTTTATTTTTTTTTTACACCAAACAGAAAGAATAGATTCTAAAGAATGGCATGATGGGAAACAGTTTTTTCCTTAAAACAAAACAAATGAAATGCTTTAGACACAGATAGTGTACAGATACTCCCCTAAAGACAATAGGAAAGTAGATGTTTCTTAGACTTGTGTGTGTGTGTATTGTTTGTTTATTTGTAGACTGTTTGGTGTATGATTCATTGATGGCTACATGCTCTTATTTAATGTTATGGTTGTACATTTTCTCTTTATACACTTAAGATTTGGAGGGAGGTGGACTGGATGTTTTAATTGGGATTTGACATATTGAGTCTCATGCAGCCCTATTTTTAAGCCTTCAGTACTGACCACTGTATATTCTTTTTCTGAATTGATGAAAACCCCCAATCTGCATATAATATGAGCCTTTAAGACAAAGATAAAGCTATCCCAGTGATTGAGTCTGGAAGATGTGTTAATACATGGAGATGCTACAGGGCTCAACATACTTTTTTTAAACAGCTAGCTCCATCTCCCTACAAATTCTCTGCAGCTTCCCCAAGCTTTTCTTTGCCTTTCCAGTGCTGCTTTCCTTCAGATGGAACTTAACATGATTTCTTGGACACTACTTAGAGACTTGAAGGTGATAATAAAACATGAGTATTATCCAGCTCTAACAGAGGTTTGATCATGATTAACTGTAAAGTTTCCCCCATTTTAGAAAGGAATGTAATAAAACTTGGTTTCCCCCCCATAGAATTAAATAATATTAAAATGGAGTGAAAGGTTGATTGTTGAAAAATAGAATAGTACCTGTAATCTGTGAACTCTCTGATTTCATCTCAGAAAAGATACATAAGGAGTTCTAATTTATCTTTAGGATACATCTGCACAATTTGATTGGCACACGGTCATTGGGAGTCATTAAGTACCTATGATTCACTAACAGAACAAAAGTACTTGGCACTTTGCTGAATGATGGATCATATTTTGGAGGGTGCATACTATTTGGTACAGAGACATAAATAAACAGTTGTGTAATCAGATCCTAAAATAGATTATCTGGTTGCCACATACATTAGCATACACATATAAGTCCATTCATTTAAAAACAAATAGAACATCTTCATTTGAAACATTCCTTTGTTATGGTGGGATAAAGAAACAGGAAAATGATAGTTACCCATTCTAAACCAAGCACTACTCTAAGAAGTTTTCACTGGCAGTTCCACTCCCTGCAGTTGAAATGCAGCTCTTCACCAACCACCTTCTGGGCATCACACTCACACACTAGAGTGAGTAACAGGGTTGGTCAACTTCAATTCTCTCAATTAAGGTGAAGAATAAGAACAGATCATTCTGGAAGAACTCAAAGGAAACAAACAAGTGATAGTTGACTTATTCTCATTGTTTTCATAACTTTTGTAAAATCTTCATTTATGAGATAAAATGTATTTATCAAATCTGTGTAATAATGCCAAAAATCTGAATTACTGTGAACTTTTTGTATGCTGTTAAAATTGTAATTGTTAATTGTATTTTTAATAATTCTGATGTTTTATGTTATCTGTGATGAAAATTGGACTCTATAGATCTATACATATGAACTATACCACTTAAAATTTTTAGTATTTTTTCTTTTCATACTTATAATTGGTAATTTCTGTTAGCTTTTCACCAATGAACTTTGAAATCTTTCTTTATGTTATCAATAAGCAACTGCCCTGGAATGTTAGAAAACAATCCAACAAGAGACTTGCTTTCATCAAGCACTTTATAAAGACTTTATGAAAAAGCACCAAAAGCATTGGAAAAGGCCACTGACTCTCAATCATCTTTTTCTCAAGAAGAAAACAATGGAAAAGCAAATCTCCTCTCAGTTATCCCCCAGCTTGGGGTTGGGGGGTATTAGAGACATTGTGAAATCAAATCTTGTGTTATATTTTTCTCCTGGTTCGCTGTTTTTGAGAAGGTTTATGGGCTATTTGGCTGGTGAGACACGATCCCCTCCTAAGAAAATGTAGGTGCTCAGACAGGTAACCTCTGCTGCTGTTTGTTTGTCTGTTTGTTTGGTTTTATTTAAATTTTACTTTTGTTGTGCTATGATTTTTAAAAATGTAATATATCATAGGATTTATAACCAGGTTCACTGATTTCTTTTGTTTCTTCAAAAAAAAAAAAAAAGGAAGGAAGGAAAAGAAAGTTTCATTGAAAATGCAATCTAGGTACCTTGGATTTGGAATGTTTTAGTGATGGACAGAAGTCTGCTGTTGGAATCATCTAGTCTTCCAGATTAGATTTCAAATGTTTTCATTTTGTTTTGGGGTTTGTGTGGTATTTTATTTCCTTTATACCTGTGCACTTTGCCATGCCTCCTAAAGTGGCTGCCTAACTCTAGTGAAATGTTAACAAAAGTTTGGTTTTTAAAGAATCCTTAATGTTTTACATGTTTAAAATTGCTTTTCAAGAAATATTCTAATTGCTTGCACTGTTACTGTTCTTTGCCAGCCTTTTCAGGAGCCAAAATATACAAATACAAACAAACAAAAAATACTCAGAGAAAACACTTCCCTTCTTCCCCCCTCCTGATGATGAGTGAGGAGTTTTGAGAGCTTTGGGGTCAGTGCCCTTCTAAACTTCCCCTCCCCCAGTAATGCAGCTGTGCAGTGGGTGCTAAGGGCAGCGGCTTGGACCAGGCACAGCCCAGCCTGCTGGCAGGTAATTGGAGTTTCCTTTATTTCCATCAGAAGGCTAACATTTTACTGTTTTGTTCTTTCCTGTTTTTAAGTTTTTTTTCTATAACACTTTAAAGGCAAACATGAATGAGTTTATCATAACTTGTTTTTTTTTTAAACAAATAATGCATAAATATGGTAGCAAGTAATTTAAAGGAGAGTTTGTGGGATAAAGTTTGAATCAATTGGGGTTTTGTTTAGCCTTTTAGATGCTCCATTCCTTGCATATATGTCTATAATTAAGTTTTCAGAGTGTGACTTTGGCTTTGTTTTGTTGTGGGTTTGTTTGTCTCTTCCATTGTGCTACTCTGGCTTAAGCTTTTTCAGGGGTTGGTGTTCCGAATACACAGTGAGCTCACAATTTAAAGACATCAATTAGGAGTTGACAGGTATGGAAAACTAGAGTTGTGTAAAGTAAATTAGGTTCTAGGTTATATATATATATATATATATGATTTAAAGTACATTACAGTGTTCAGTTGGCCTTAGTGATGCGCAAGGGGCTTGTGAAACCAATAGAGCATTTCAGTCACTTTAGAAGTGACCACTGTAGCCTTTCTGATAAAGTAATCCTAACAGATATATGTGAATAGCTGAAGACTATCAAATTCTAGAGAGTACACATTATAGATTTGAACATATATAGGGGAGTATTTCTGAAGCACAGCATGGTTAACCAGATTAGCCAGGGTCATAAAAGAAGGTTAGTGGCAGAATGGAACTACAGTTTGTACAATTTGGTAGTCTTCTGTTAGTTAGCTCTTTCCTTTATGTCTATCCCAGTTTGCTTACTGTTCCTCCTTTCCTGTCCTTTCTAAGGTTTTAACTCTGAAAGCTAGTTTTACATTTGGGGCAGTAATCTCTCTTTAATAAAGGATTTCAGAGATAATAGCCAGCACCTTCCCTATAAATTTTTGCATAATTTTATCTAATAGCTTGTAATGTTCTGCACAAAGAATGTATACATCAGACCACTGGTTAGTGAATAAAACCCTGGCCTCAGTGCTCTCTCTATACCTAGAGAGGCATGACAATAAATCATTAGCCTATTCTGTGCTTCAGCTGACACGTGAGGTAGGGACATCCTCTGGCATCTGAAATAATTACCTGTTGAACTGAACTGAAATTTACTTGTCCAGGAATCCCAGCTGCACTCCTGCAGGGATGTATGAGGTGTTATGAGAAGGACTTCAGGAGACTTTTGTTCTCTGGCCTATGACAGTGGCCACCAG